CAGTAGGTATACTACTATTTCTGCTATTTTACAGAAGAGGAAACTGAGGCAGCCTTGCTCAAGGTCGCACAGCTAGTAGCAGGGCCAACAACGTAGCAATGTAACTCCCACACCGGTGCTGTTAACTGCCATCCTGCACTGCTAGGCTTCTGAGCTCAGGACAATTTAATGCGGCAAATGCCATGATGTGTCGATTATATATCACAGAGCACATAAACTCAGGAGGAAAATGAAGGTAGTTGGAGCCGAACGCAAAATGGATGGATGGCGCGATTGAAAGGCTTGACTATAAATCATTAATTTTAAAAACAAGTGACTGGAAAGAAATGCAAATCACGAAATGACACAGCTCCTTAACTTATAGCAACAGTTCTCACCCAAAGCTCCCAACTCTCTGATTCATCTCCACTTTTGACACTGACCATCGGCAGCCAGGGCTTCACCACTTCACGGCTGCTACAAGCACCCACCGCTGTCTTCCCCCTCCCGTGGGCAGGTCATGAACCCTGAGCAGGCACTCATCAAAGAGACACTAGTGGCAGAAACTTTGGTTCTGAGTATGCCCTTTCAGTAGCTTCTGCCCACCTCCTCTGTGCCTCTATTTCCCTGCCCATCACCCCATTGGTCACCTGCTCCATTGTGCTGATGGGGCACCTTCTTATTTCAAACTTATTGACAAATTTGCACCTAGGATGAGGAGTTTAGAAAACATGACAATAGCCAGGGCGTGGTGGTTCATGCCTGTAATCCTAGCACTTTGGGAGGTCGAGGTGAGAGGATCACTTGAGCCCAGGAGTTTGAGACCAGCCTGGGCAACATAGTGAGAACTTGTCGCTACCAAAAAAAAAAAAAAAAATGAGCCAGGCATTGTGATTGATACACACCTGTAGTCCCTGCTACTTGAGTGGCCGAGGTAGGAGGACTGCCTAAGCCCAGAAGAAGTCAAGGCTCCAGTGAGCTGTGATCATGCCACTGCTCCCCAGCCTGGGTGACAGAGTGAGACTTTTGACTCAAAAAAAAAAAAAAAAAAAAAAAAGACAATAATTCACTACATAGTTTAGCTCTTTTTTTTTTGAGTTGGAGTCTCACTTTGTCACCCAGGCTGGAGTGCAGTGGCATCATCAGGGCTTATTGCGGGCTCGACCTCCTGGGCTTGGTGATTCTCCCACCTCATCCTTCTGAGTAGCTGGGTCTACAGGTGTGCACCACCACACTGGGCTAATTAAAAAAAAAATTTTTTTGTAGAGACAGGGTCTTGCTATGTCACGTAGGCTGATCTCGAACTCCTGGGCTCAAGTGTTCCTCCCGCCTCAGCCTCCCAGGGTGCTAGGATTACAGTTGTGAACCATAGTGCCCGACCTTCTTTTTCTCAATATTAGTTCTAATAGAGCTGGGAGGTACCACAGTGGGGGCACACATTGGAAATGTGTGGAGGCTTTTTAAAAATTTTTTTAATTTGTAGGCCCTTACTACTCAAAGGACGGTCTCACGGAACAGCAGAGTGGATGTCACGGGGCGCTTGTCAGACTCTACTCCAGACCTACTGAACTGAATCTGTATTTAATAAGATCCCTGGGTGAGTCATGTACACATTAAAATTAAGAAGCACTGGGCTAGAATTTACATATTGAAATTGATATGATTTTATTATCATGAGTTCCTTTTTTTCCCTCCTTTATATTGCTGCCGGGGCACTATACTGAATTCTAAACACTGTGTGTAGGCTAATTATCATTAACTTCATTTCAAGGTACTAGCAACGTGTTACAAAGTATGTCTTATGTGAGGGGGCAGTGGGTTTAAGACAGATGACAACCACTGTTTTAAGATATTGTGATTTGGGGCCAGGCGTGGTGGCTCACGTCTGTATTCCCAGCACTTTGAGAGGCCAAGCAGAAGGATTGCTTGAGTCCAAAAGTTCAAGACCCGCCTGGGCAACATAGTGAGACCTCATCACTATCAAAAATAAAAAACTTAGCCGAGTGTAGTGGCGCATGCCTATAGTCCCAGCTACTCGGGAGGCTGAGGCAGAAGGACGGTCTGAGCCCAGGAGGTCAAGGCTGTGGTGAGCTGTGATCATGCCACTGCACTCCAGCCTGGGCAACAGAGTGAGACTCTGACTCAAAACAAACAAACAAACTACTGTGATTCTGAAAAAAAGCTTTAAATTCTGCAGCCTGATGCCCATCCTTGGTCTCCATTTCCTTATTTGGGCATGCACGTCACCTCTCTGGTCTCAGTTTCCCCATCTGTAAAATGAGGGTATAGAATGAAATGATTTTAAGATCCTCCCCGATGCAGCCTCTTCTAGTCTGGTCAAGAGAGAAGGAGGCATGTGTTGGAAGAAGCAGAGAAAAAAAGTCTGAGAACGTGAGGCAGATGTGTGAGTGAACCATGGGGATACAGGAAGCAACATTTATCACGGGACAGGAGGGACAAGAATGCCAAGAGACTGAAAAGGAAGGCACGCAGACAGGAAAAAGAGACAACTTCTGATCAAAGCGATTCTGTCCGCCCATGAATTTTCATGGCTACCAGCTGGCGTAAGACCATAAAGACAAATTTCAGCTCCTCCAACAGAATTGCATTTGTAATCATCATAACAATATTTCTACAGAGTAAAAATGACAAAGATAATTTGAAATGGAAACCACTGACAAGATGCAAAATAAATGTCTATACCTGGCAACAAATTTAGGGACGGGCCAGAATATGTTATGAGGGAAATGTATTAACCAGACAGACTATGGGGCATCAAGCCTGGAAGGTTCTGATGGTTCCCTGTTAACCTCCTCAGGGAAATCAGAGGGTAATGATTCTGTCTTAGCCTCCTGCAACAGTGGCTTCCTGCTCACTGCGGAAGGGGAGGTGACCCTCGGTCCTTTCGCTTGTCATTATCTGCGACACAAATAACAGCTACGCCAGTGCTCACATGCCATGTCCAGTCCTAATTTATCCATTTGTAGACGTCTCTGCTTGCCTCTGGGAGTTATTACATCCTCTTGTAGTCGTCCAAGATGGTGGAAAATTAGTCTTCTCGTCTCTTGAGAGACCAGAGACGTTTATAAGTGTGAGCGCCTCCTAAGTGTGACTTATCACAGGTGGCAGGGCTGGAATCCTCTAAATCACTTTACAGTCTAATAGGGGAGATAAACATAATAGCTAACATTTACGGGGAGGGTTTATATGCCAGATAAATATAACAGCTAACATTTAACGACTGTTGCGTTTTCTATCTGGGACTACAGGCATGGGCCACCATACCAGCTATATTTTTATTTTTGTTTTTTTGTAGAGATGAGGTTTCTCTATGTTGCCCAGGCAGGTCTGAATTGTTGGGCTCAAGCAATCCTCCAGCTTCGGCCTCCCAAACTGCTGGGATTACAGATGTGAGCCACAGGCCAGTTGTCATTTTGGTGTCTTATATGCATCTTTTTCACTTAACATTTTTTTTTGTTTCATATCCCTGAGAAACTGGGGGGAGGGGAGGTCAGAAAGGTTGAACTTGCCATAAGTCACACAGTTAATGAGTGGCTAAGCCTGGACTCTAAGCCCAAGAAGTGACTGGGTCTCCCATGTTCTTAACTACCATTCTACACTAGCTCAGAAAGATAACAGGGATTAGTAGAAACCACGCTAGACTAAATGCCACTTTATATTCCTGCTCGGTCCCTCTCTCTGAGTCCATGTGGCTGAGTATTTTTATTCATTATGAGTGTTTGTTTATCATCTCACATATTTGATTGCTTGAATGAAAATTTGGGGAATTTCAGAGCTGAGTTTTCAGGCACACAGAGGTAAGATTTTGAAAGAGGATGTCTTTTCAATGGGAGAAGTCATATTAGTTTAGATATCAGTTTGGTTTCTTAAGCTTTTTTTGTGTGTGTGGGACAGAATCTCACTCTGTTCCACAGGCTGGAGTGCAGTGGCACGATCATGGCTCACTGCAGCCTCGACCTACTAGGCTCACATAATCCTCCCACCTCAGCTTCCTGAGTAGCTAGAACTACATGTGCATGTCACTATGCCTGGTTAATTTTTGTACTTTTTTTGTAGAATTGAGCTCTCACTATGTTGCCCAGGCTGGTCTCAAACTCCTGGGCTCAAGCAATCCTCCTGCCAAGGCCTCCCAAAGTGCTGGGATTACAGATGTGAGTCACCCTGCTCAGCCTAGTTTCTTAAGCTTTTTTTTTTTTTTTTTTGAGTTGGAGTCTCACTCTTGTCGCCCAGGCTGGAGTGCAGTGGCACACTCACGGCCACCGCAGCTTCGACCAGCTGGGCTTAGACTCTCCTTCCACCTCAGCCATCCAAGTAGCTAGAACTACAGACGTACACCACCACAGTCAGCTAGTTTTTATGATTTATTGTAGAGACCAGGTCTCGCCAAGTTGCTCAGGCTGGTCTTGAACCCCCGGGCTCAGGCAATCCTCTCACCTTGGTCTCCCAACGTGCTGGGATAACAAGCTGAGCCACGACGCCTGTCCTCTTAAGCTTTTTAAAGCAAATTCTGCCGGGCTCGGTGGCTCAGCCTGTAATCCCGCGCCTTGGGAGGCTGAGGTGAGTGGATTGCCTGAGCCCGCGGGTTCGAGACCCGCCTGGGCAACTTGGTAAAACCTCATCTCTACAATAAATCAAAAAATCAGCCAGGTGTGGTAGCGCGCGCCTGTAATCCCAGCGACGTGGAAGGCTGAGGCGGAAGGATGGCCAGAGCCCAGCAGGTCGAGGCCGCAGGGCCCGGGAGCAGCCACTGCACTCCAGCCTGGGTGACAGAGTGAGACTCCAACTCAAACAAACAAAAAAAAGAAAATCCTTACTTTGGAAAATATAATAATTCTGTGGCATCCCACCAGCCAGAGATGATGACACACCCCCAGGGGGACCCTACCCTGTGAAGGCCATCTTCAAGACCAAGGGCATGAAAAGGGAGAGTCGTAATTTTGCTAGGCAGCCGAAAGAATCCCTTGTCTTTTCTTTTGCCTTGGCTTAGCGTACATCTTTACCTGAGACAGACTGGAAGTGCCGTGCGGTCCAGGCGATCAACACGGCCAGCAGAAAGGTTCCCAGGAAGTAGATCTACCAAGACAGCCGAAGCGGGCATCAGATGACTGACAGGCATGCAGGGGTGCCAGGGCAGGGCCGGGGGAGCTGACACCTACCAGGGCCGAGGGCAGGACGGCGCCCCAGACCAGCCGCAAGTGAAGGTAAAGCCAGGCTAGGGAGCAGGGACTGAAGGACTCCTCATTGCTATGGTTCCAGCACCTGCAGGGAAGACATCTTGATGCGTCGGCCAACTTTGGGGCACAATGCATGCTGGGCACCGTCAGGTCTTCAAACCTCCTCTCCTTTCCTCTCCTTCCTTTCTGAGTTAGGGTTTCACTCTGTTGCCCAGACTGGAATGCAGGGGTCAGATCCTGGCTCACTGCAGCCTCAACCTTCTGGGCTCAGATGATCCTTCTGTCTCAGCTTCCCTGGGGCTGCAGCTGGGACGGCAGGCACGTGCCACCACACCTGGCTAATTTATTTATTTATTTATTTATTTTTTTTTGTAGAGATGAGGTCTTGCTATGTTGCCCAGGCTGGTCTCGAACTCCCGGGTTCAAGCAATCCTCCCGCTTTGGACTCCCAAAGTGCTAGGATTACAGGTGTGAGCCACCCTGTCTGTACCTACATTATTCTGCTTTTGGACAAATGAGCATACTTGAGTTGAGACACAAAGAAATAATGCCAGTTCTAAGTGGTTTGGCCTGACCTGAAATTCTAGAGTCCTAGCAGAAATCTCAGATAAAGGGCAGTTCTATTCTTAATTAAAAATTCAAGGAGGGGACAACCTCTTTCAGGTCCCCTCCCACTGTGGGAGCTTTCCTGTCTTCTTAATAAATCCTACGTTCAAAAAAAAAAAAAGTCAAGGAGGACCCTGAAGCCATAGGGTCTGCTAGAGCAGTATTTTCTGTCTGAGTATCTGTCCAAAGTGCAGGTGTAGGAATTTCTCCCTATCTTTCAAAAAAACATAGGCTCATCAGATTTTTATGTTTTCTCCTCTCGTGGAAAACCCTGGTCAGCACTGCACCTTCAGATCAAGTCCCTTTTATATCTTAAGCCTCAAGTATTAGAAAAGGGAAATATGCTTTGGTTGAATAGAAAAGGGGAATATGCTGGATGTTCTCTAGTAGAAGCAAATCTTGCCCCCCCCCTTAAAATAACAATTGACATTGCAAAATGAGGTAAGGCTAACTTTAACCAGAAGCAAACACCCTCCCGCTTGGCTTCCCCCAGATTCCACGGTTTTAGGGGGCTCTGAACTCACCTTTCGTACAGTTCCCGGAGAATGGAGATGTTATTAGAATGCAGAGTTGAGTTGATTTCCAAGAAATCCAAAATATGGTGTGGAATGACAGCACCTTCCTCAATGAGCAGGGCCAGGTTAAAAAATCCCTGAAAACAAGCCACAAGCCAAACTTACCAACTCCTCGTAACAAAACCCGAACATAGCCCTTCATCGGAATGTAAACTTTTACAACCTCTAAATTTTTCCTTTCGTCTCTGGCACCAGATGGTTTTGTCATCTTCATTGATGAATTGTTTCCCTAAATATATGCATTGGAGAAATTGATTTGCAGGAGAACCAGGAGGCTTTCAGAGGGTGCTGAGTCCCATCTGCTCAGAAGCCAGTCAACCGGGAGATCTGTCCTTTTCTCACTCATTCTCTCGAAACAGAACTTGCTGGAAAACATGCCCTTGTATCATCAACGAAACCAGAACACAGTGTCGAAGGCAATGTCCATCACTTACAGACTAAGCCCCAGGTTGCCATCACCCTGCCAGGAATCTGACAACATGTTTTTGTGGCTGGGGTACTTCCCATGACTGACATTCCAACACAGACTGTCTCCCCTGAGCACAGGGTAACGTATGGACAGTCGTCTTGGCTTTCCTAGCGGATCCCAGGATTTTGAGGGTTCCTCTTAGCATGGGTCCCCAGGATGTCTTCCTACCTCTTCCTCTGACATCTTTTTCTTGACACTCAGAGGCAGGACCTGCCTTATTGGGCTGTAGGGACCCAGTACAATAACAGTCAGAGGGCCTGACCATAGAGGAGCTTCATCAAGGATGCATACATTACTCTACTTGGAGGAGATGCAGCCTTTGTCATGAGCTGAGCACGTGGCCAGACCAAGACATAAACAAAGAAACCCTAACGTGGTACTTGTTTTTTAAAGATGGGGTCTCACTCTGTTGTCTAGGCTGGAGTGCGCTGTTATGATCATAGCTCCCTGAAGCCTCGAAATGCTGGTCTCCAGAGATCCTACTCCCTCAGCCTCCCAAACGCTCTTTATCAGAATGTGTCATCAGCATGAGCTACCCTAGCCGGTCCGATGTGGTACTTACCATTAGGGCTGTACCCATTCCATTGCATTGTTGCCCTTCAAAGAGTTCATGATCATGTTTCAATGGCTAATACTCTCCCTCTGACCTTTCCTTTTAGTGGCCTCTAAACAATCTAAGTGAAAATCATCACCCAACAGGTTCTACACTCCAGAGTTCCCACAACCATCCTATGGAGAAATCATGATAAAAGTCCTAGTAGCTAACACTGTCTGAGGGGCAGATTGATATAGGTAGTATTAATCCTCCTTATTTCATAAGATGAAGAGGACAGGCACAGTGGCTCACGCCCATAATCCCAGCACTTTGGGAGGCTGAGGAGGGAGGATTGCCTGCGCCCAGGAGTTCAAGACTAGCCTGGGCAATGTGGCAAGACCTCTTTTCTACAGTAAATCAAAAAATTAGCCAGGCATGGTGGTGCATGCCTGTAGTCTCAGTTGCTTGGAGACCAAGGCAGAAGGATCACCTGAGTCCACCAGGTTGAGGTTGCAAAGAGCTGGGAACGGAGCACTATACTCCAGCCGGGGCAACAGAGTGAGAGAAGAAGAAGAAAGAGGGGAAGGAGGAGAAGGAGAAAGGAGGAGGAAGGAGGAGGAAGGAGGAGGGAGGAGGAGGAGGAAAAGAAAGAGAAGAAGAAGAAGAAGAAGAAGAAGAAGAAGAAGAAACTGAGGCATAGAGAGGTTAAGGAACTTGCCCAAATCACATAGTTGGAAAGTGGCAGAGGTGAGATTTAAACCCAAGCAGATAGGGCCCAGAGTCTCAAATCTTAACCTCTACCATGGTGCCAAATAACCAAATAGATGAAAGTGTTAAGCATTTTTAAGCCAGGCTCGGTGGCTCAGCCTGTAATCCCGTGCCTTTGGGAGGCTGAGGTGAGTGGATTGCCTGAGCCCGCGGGTTTGAGACCCGCGTGCACGCGCACATACACACACCGCAGCAGAAGATAGAATACTTCTCCACTCTGAATGGAAGGCACTCTTAAGACTTGAGGCATGAGAAGAAAAGAGGAAATTGACTTGTGACATTTTAAAGTCTCGATTAAAGGAATAATAACAAGATTAAACTAGGTGGGACAGCAGACTATGGGAATGTTTGTAAGCAGTGTAATAGCTTAAGATTCATTATCCGCTAGGCAAATACACAAAGGACTCATTATGATTTGAATTTTTAAAAGTGTCAGGGGCTGAGCGTGGTGGCTCACACCTGTGATCCTAGTACTTTGGGAAGCTGAGGTGAGAGGACTGCTGGGTTCCAGACCAGCTTGGGCACCTTGGCAAGATCTTATCTCTACAATAAATCAAAAAATTAGCCAGGCGTGGTGGTGCATGCCTGTAGTCCCAGCTACTTGGAAGGCTGAGGCAGACGGATCTCTTGAGCCCAGCAGGTCAAAGCTGCGGTGGCCATGAGCGTGCCACTGTACTCCAGCCTGGGCAACAGAGTGAGACTCCAACTCAAAAAAAAAAAAAAAGGTCAGAACAGATAAACAAAGAATAATAACAGAGAATCCATGTAAAAGAAAATGTGAAAAGTCATTTTTTTATTAACATCATATGCAAAAGTGTCCACCTTCACTAGTAATAAACATAAGTAAAAACAGCAAGAAAGTAGCAACTTATTATTTATTTAGCAAAATAAATCGTGAGAACACTGCGTGCTGACAAGGTTCCAGTCCTCCTCCTCTGTTCAACCACATTGTTCAGTAACATCTTAATTGGAGAACACTTTTAAAACCAAGGCAATGTGCTGTCATGTAGTCATAAAACCATTCAGACTGTCTGACTCAGTAATATTATCTCCCCAATGATAAGGAAAGAATTCAAACAAAGAGAAAAGGTGGAAATATGAGAATGTTCTTTGCAGCACTAGCTATGATGGCAACACAAGAGGAAACAACCTCCAAGTCGTCCTTGGTAGACTGTCAGCCCTAGGAAGGCAAGAGGATTATCTGTCTTTCGCCCAGGCTGGAGTGCAGTAGCATGATCACGGCTCACTGCAGCCTTGACCTCCTGTACTCAGGCATCCTTCTGCCTCAGCCTCCCGAGTAACCGGGGCTACAGGCGTGTACCACCACGCCTGGCTAATTTTTTTTATTGTTTTTGTAGAGCTGAGGTCTTGCTATGTTGCCCAGGCTGGTCTTGAACTCCTATTCTCAAGCAGTCCTCCCGCCTTGGCTTGCCAAAGTGCTAGGATTGTCAGACAGGGGCCACCACTTAGTCCCTATCTTTTTAATCTATGTTTCTTCCACTAAGTATTACCTAGGGCATGGTGGGATTGGATACATATGTGCAGAATCAATGAATAAGTTAGCAAGCAAAAGAATTAATATCCACCAATAAGGTAATGCTTAAGAAATTATAGTCCGAGGAGGGCACATAACATCAAAAAGAGTACCAAACTTTACCTGTATGATGACCACTTTTGAACCTAACCCTGAATTGTACCCTACATCTTTAAAATAAAAAAATAAATAAACAAAGAGCCAGGATTTGAGGACTCCCCATCAGCCTGGCTAAAAAAAAAAAAAGAAAGGAAAAAAAAAAGAAATTACAGTCCATCAGCCCAACAGAAGAATACAGGCAGCCATTAAGAATAATAATTGGCCAGACGCAGTGGCTCATACCTATAATCCCAGCACTTTGGAGGCAGAGACGAGAGGATTGCCTGAGTCCAGGGGTTTGAGACCAGCCTGGGCAACTTGGTAAGACCTCATCTCTAAAATAAATAAAAAAATAAGTCGGGTACAGTGGCACATGCCTCAGTTCTGCTACTTGGCAGGCTGAGACAGAAGGATCTTCTGAGCCCAGGAGGTAAGGCTGTGGTGGCCATGAGTATGCCACTGTACTCCAGTATGGGCGATAGAGTGAGACTCCAACTCAAAAAAAAAAAAAAAGAGTAATAATTAAAGAGTCTATGCAATACAATGCACACAGCCCTATAAAAAAAATGATAATACAGATTTTTAAAGTACCAGGTGCATTCTAGATAATGTTACAGATGCATCTGCCTATGGCTAGGGCTATACCACGAAGACATGAAATAATCAAAGCCCTTGCTATGGAATTGGGGGTGCATTCTTTGATTTTTTTTCTCTAAAAACTATCCTTTATTGTGCTTGTTACACTGTCTTTCCAAATAATAACAATCAAAATTGAAAAAAAAAATTACCGCCGGGCTCGGTGGCTCAGCCTGTAATCCCGCGCCTTGGGAGGCTGAGGTGAGTGGATTGCCTGAGCCTGCGGGTTCGAGACCCGCCAGGGCAACTTGGTGAGATCTCATCTCTACAACACATCAAAAAATTAGCCGGGTGTGGTAGCACGTGCCTGTAGTTCTAGCTACTTGGAAGGTTGAGGCAGAAGGATCGCCGGAACCCAGCAGGTCGAGGCTGTGGTGGCTGGGAGCGGCCATTGCACTCTAATCTGGGCGACAGAGTGAGACTCCAACTCAAAAAAAAAAAAAAAGAGTAATAATTAAAGAGTCTATGCAATACAATGCACACAGCCCTATAAAAAAAATGATAATACAGATTTTTAAAGTACCAGGTGCATTCTAGATAATGTTACAGATGCATCTGCCTATGGCTAGGGCTATACCACGAAGACATGAAATAATCAAAGCCCTTGCTATGGAATTGGGGGTGCATTCTTTGATTTTTTTTCTCTAAAAACTATCCTTTATTGTGCTTGTTACACTGTCTTTCCAAATAATAACAATCAAAATTGAAAAAAAAAATTACCGCCGGGCTCGGTGGCTCAGCCTGTAATCCCGCGCCTTGGGAGGCTGAGGTGAGTGGATTGCCTGAGCCTGCGGGTTCGAGACCCGCCAGGGCAACTTGGTGAGATCTCATCTCTACAACACATCAAAAAATTAGCCGGGTGTGGTAGCACGTGCCTGTAGTTCTAGCTACTTGGAAGGTTGAGGCAGAAGGATCGCCGGAACCCAGCAGGTCGAGGCTGTGGTGGCTGGGAGCGGCCATTGCACTCTAATCTGGGCGACAGAGTGAGACTCCAACTCAAAAAAAAAAAAAAAGAGTAATAATTAAAGAGTCTATGCAATACAATGCACACAGCCCTATAAAAAAAATGATAATACAGATTTTTAAAGTACCAGGTGCATTCTAGATAATGTTACAGATGCATCTGCCTATGGCTAGGGCTATACCACGAAGACATGAAATAATCAAAGCCCTTGCTATGGAATTGGGGGTGCATTCTTTGATTTTTTTTCTCTAAAAACTATCCTTTATTGTGCTTGTTACACTGTCTTTCCAAATAATAACAATCAAAATTGAAAAAAAAAATTACCGCCGGGCTCGGTGGCTCAGCCTGTAATCCCGCGCCTTGGGAGGCTGAGGTGAGTGGATTGCCTGAGCCTGCGGGTTCGAGACCCGCCAGGGCAACTTGGTGAGATCTCATCTCTACAACACATCAAAAAATTAGCCGGGTGTGGTAGCACGTGCCTGTAGTTCTAGCTACTTGGAAGGTTGAGGCAGAAGGATCGCCGGAACCCAGCAGGTCGAGGCTGTGGTGGCTGGGAGCGGCCATTGCACTCTAATCTGGGCGACAGAGTGAGACTCCAACTCAAAAAAAAAAAAAAAAAGAAAAGAAAAAACAAGAACAAAGAAAGAAAGGAAGAAAAAGAGCCCATTTCTGCAGCAAATCCCTTTAGCAACTTGTTCACATTTCATTCCAGAAGAAACCATCATGCAATGGATCATGTTCCTTGAGTGTACTTGGCATGGGTCCCAGAGCTTAACACTGAAATTCTCTCATTTAGTCCTCACAGCCTATGAGGTAGTTGCTACTATTATCCCCACTGACAGAGAAGCAAACAGATGTAGTGATCTGCCACATGAAAGAGCTATGAAGTGAGAGAGCCATGGGATTTAACCCAGAGACAGCTGGGTGTGGTGGCTCAGAGCTGTAATCCCAGTACTTTGGGAGGCTGAGGTGGCAGGATTGCTTGCGGCCAAGAGTTTGAGACCAGCCTGGGCAACATAGCAAGACCTTGTCTCTACAACAAAGCAAAACCAAACAACAACAACAAAACAAAACAAAAGCCCGCCATGGTGGTATATCACTGTAGTCCCAGCTACTCAAGAGGTTGAGGTACAAGCATCACCTGAGCCCAAGAGGTGGAGGTTGTGGGGAGCTGTGAACCAGCCTCAGCGACAAAGTGAGATCCTGACTCAAAAAAATGAAACAAAAAACCCCAAACAAACAGACATAACAAAACCCAGGGATACAACCACGCTAATGCAAGACCTCCGTTTTTAAAAACTCAAAAGACTGAGGTAGGAATGCGTTTCCAACTTTTGCTCTGTTACCACATCATCATCATCATCATCATCATTATTATTATTATTATTATTTTGAGTTGGAGTCTCACTCTGTTGCCCAGGCTGTCACCCATGCTCATGGCCACTGCAGCCTCGACCTGCTGGGCTCAGGTGATCTTTCCGCCTTAGCCTTCCAAGCAGCTGGAACCATAGGTATGTGCCACCACGCCTGGCTAATTTTTTGATATATTGTGGAGACAAGGTCTCACCAGGTTCTCCAGGCTGGTCTCGAACCCATGGGCTCAGGCAATCCTCTCACCTTAGCCTCCCAAAGTGCTAGGATTACAGACAAGAGCCACTACGCCTGGCTGTGGCCAGATTTTAAATCACAACACCAGAAAGCTGTTATATAAGAGTGCAGCAACTTTGGCAACTTCCATCCAGGAAACCACCCTGAGATGCTCATGGCAGAATTTTGATTAGCAGATGGAAAAGGAACAAAGGAAACAGGGAGTCATCATTAAAACTCCACGGGAACAATGGTTGCAGGCAAGATCCACTAAAATTAGGAAGCAAAAAACTGGGAACCAGAATATTTGCACAATCCCAAATTATCTCTCCAAGATATCTATACATTAGGAAGAGAAAAAAAAGTTTTTTGAGTCAGAGTCTCATTCTGTCACCCAGGCTGGAGAGCAGTGACACAATCATGGCTACTACAGCCTCGACTTGCTGGGCTCAGGCGATCCTTCTGCTTCAGCCTTCCAAGTATCTGGAACCACAGGTGCCTGCCACCAGGCCTGGCTAATTTTTTGATTTTCTATAGAGACGAGGTCTCACTATGTTGCCAAGGCTGCGCTCAGGCAATCCTCTTGCCTCAGCCTCCCAAAGTGCTGGGATCACAGACCTGAGCCACCACGCCTGGCCAGAAAAAGAAAAATATTAACTTTACAGTGGAAGAAATTCCCTAACCAAGTGATAAAGATTAACCTCCCCAGAAATATTGAAATCATCCACCTTGATATGGTGCACTGAAGACACATCACTTCAATGACATTCTTGCCCAAAATGTGTACACTCAAATTTATTCATGAGAAAACAGAAGGCACACCCAAATCAAGGGACGTTCTACAAATGACCCAACCAGTATTCTTCAAAAGTATGGAAGGTCACGAAGCAAAGGAAAGACTGAGGATCTGTAGTAGCTTGGAGAGGAATGGAAACAAATATGATAGTCAAATATAATATGAGACCTGGGATGGAATCCAGGAACAGAAAAAGGACGTTAGCACTGCAGCCCAGCAGGTCGACTCTGGGGTGGCTGTGAATGTGCCACTGCACTCCAACTTGGGCAATGGAGTGAGACTCCAACTCAGAAAAACAAACAAACAAAAAAGGATGTAAATGGAAAAATGGGTGAAATTCACATGAAATCTGAAGTGTAGTTAAATCCTGTCCCAACCTTCAGTTCTTAGTTTGACAATGGCATGGTGGTTATATGTTAACATTAGGAGAAGAGGGTGAAAGATATACAGGAACACTCTTAACTCTTTTTCTATAAATCTAAACTTATTTCAAAATAAGAAGTTTCAAAAAGGCACTGAGAGGAAAATGCTGTCACTGAAGTATGAACCGTACCAGCAAATGACTTCCTGTTGCAAGCATACTGAGATGATGGTGAGTTCCTCCCTGGTAAGTCTGTTTGACGGGATCTGGTAGAAACACCCTTCAGATTGGAGTCCTGGGTTTAGGCTCTGGCTGCCTTGCTTTCTATCGGATTATTTGGCCTTGTTGTGCCTCTGACTGTAAAATGGGCATCATAATCCTCATCCCAGAGGATGGGGTGAGAGAGGTGTGGGAACACAGTAGGTGTTTAATAAAGACCCATCATCATGGCTAGTGTTCTCATAGTGTTGTTGTGAGGGGTGTGAGGAAATGGATGAATATGACTTTTTTTTTGAGCCAGGGTCTCGCTCTGTCGCCCAAGGTGGAGTGCAGTGACATGCTCATGGCTACCGCAGCCTTGACCTCCTGGGCTCAGGCGATCCTTCTGCCTTAGCCTCCCAAGTAGCTACAGGTACGCACTACCATGCAGGCAAATTTTTGACTTATTGTAGAGATGAGATCTCGCCAAATTGCACAGGATGCTCTTGAACCCCAAGTTCTGGCAATCCTCTCACTTCCACCTCCCAAAGTGCTGTGATTACAAGTATGAACCGCCACACTCAGTCTGGATAAACAATGACTTTATAAGTTGTGCAGCCTATGGGCACAGAATAGACTGCTAGGACCCTAGGTCCTGCAAGCTCGAAAACCGGATGTCACCAAGAGCTGTGTTATTTGTGTTTTTTGTTTTTCAAGCCTGGTTCTTTCTCTGTTGCCCAGGGTGGCATACAGTGGCACAATCATAGCTCACTGCAGCCCCAACCCCCTGGGTTCAAACGATTTTCTTGCTTCAGCCTCCCAAATAGCTGAAACTACAGGCACACACCACCAAGCCCACCAAGAGCTGGCTTTTGTTGTTATTGTTTACCTGGGAGTCTCCATCCAGCGCTGCTTGGGCGTACATCTGCACAGACAACTCAAGGTCTTGTGACTGGTTTTGGTGGCCATAGTAGTAAAGGTCTCCCATTTTCAAATATGCTGCAGGACCCAAAGGACAAATCCATTTGTCAATTGGATTGATTTCAGACCGACATTTAAGAAACAAAACTCAACAGGGTCTTATTATGTTGTCCAGGCTGGTCTTGAACACCTGGGCTCAGGCAATCCTTCTGCCTCGGCCTCCCAAAGTGCTGGGAATACAGGCATGACCCTCCATGACCGGCCACGGCATTTTAAATTATTGACCCATTCAACAAGACTGAGAGTTCTTCCTATTTGAATCTGAATACAGAACACCCTCATGTTTCCTTGGGGTGTCAAGATGAAGGAAAACACAGGCTTTCACCCTGAGCACGCCTATTTCTAGACACATTTTCCTGTTCTGCCAGGCAGTGCTCCTGAACAGGTCTGTTCGTGAGACTCACAACCCCACAGCCCGATCAGCCAAGGTTGTTGTTGTTTTTTTTTCCAGGCATTGTATTTCACATCTGAAATTTTGTTGCTCGTGTCTGATGCCTCTTGTGGGTATCTCTTTGCTTTGTTTGGGCCCTGTATTTTATTTTTCCCTGGAGGAAAATCTTGTGTTTAAGAGTGCATACATCCTATAAATGCCCAATCAGAAAAACAGAATCCATTTTAGGAAGTTCAAAAGAGGGATTTATCCTGGGAAGTGGTTTCTAGGCTGTTGGAGCAGCTGAAAAGGGGAACGGAGAACAAAGCGACCCAGAGATCAATAATGAGGAAGCGGGCTTATCCCTGGGGCTGGAGGCCTGAGGGCGGCTGAGATGTGACCAGAGCCCCTCAGCCCCTCGGGAGCAGAGACCAACAGACTTTTCCAGGCAAGGGCTGGAATGTGAGGCAGCCCCCGCCAGAGGCACAGTCCAAATGGAGACAGGGAAGACATACGGGGCTGCTTCCCCCATCCTGCCAGCTTCTGACAGCACCTCCCAGCACCTGAAACTGATCAGCAGCAGGTGGGCAGAGGATTCTGGGAAGGGTAGTTCCTGGAGGCCAGCTCCCTGCCAAGCAGAACAGGGAGTGGGGTGGAGGGAAGGGTGGAGAGGGATGGGGCACATCTCAGGGCAAAGAAGAGAATGACCTGCCCAGAGCATCCTCCCTAACAGCTTTCTCTGTTGAATTCTCCTTGATTTGGAAGAAATGTGGGTCCAAGCCTACAGCAGAAGAGCTTTCCTGCTGGAGGTAGAGTTTACCTGTGATCTCCATAGCAGAGATTTTTCACTTTCTTTCCTAATTGTTTAGAAATACCACACTTCCCACAAAGCTGTTAGATGTTCACAGTTACTAAAGACTAAGAGCCTCTCACGCTTTAATTTGGCACCCGTTTTTCTATACATACCAAATGAAGGAGCATCGATTTGAAAAACAGAGAAATTATAGTATCTCCAAACACAATTGACGCCCAAGTATCTCCTGGCCAGGTCCTGGGGCAAAGGAGAAAAGAAATTCATGCGTTCATATTTTGGCCAAGTGACCGATGTTGCCTCCTTGAGACCCAGTTTATTATCCGTCACCTGCAGCCTCCACGCCAAGAAGGACGCATTTACTTACTGGCCTCTCCTCACAGATGTGTGCTAAATTTGTCTGTGACACTTCAATTCCAGTTTCTGCTGCTAAAACATAATACAGCAAAGCTTCATGCCTAAAAATAGATGATTAATAATAAATTTCATATAGTGGCTCTTACTAATATTCACGGAGAGCTTTATATTCAAACATCAGAGGGCGCAAAATAAGCAGTTTTTTTAAAACCACAAAATCATGAGTTTTTTTTTAATTTAAATAAATACTGTTGAAAATACTGCATGCACTGATTTATTTTCTGTCTTTAAGGCTGAATTCCCAGATAAGGCTGGGAGCTAGTTGGTGCAACAGCTACCTCTGCTGGCGGGATGGTGTGTCGGGTGCTGGCTGGGAGCTGTCCACCAGTCAGTCAGTCCTTGAGTCCTTCTGTCCTTGCTTAGAGGAGATAAGGGGTGTTAAGACATGCACTCCAGTCTGGGCGACAGAGTGAGACTCCAACTCAAAAAACAAAAAACAAAAAAAAAGAAAAGAAAAACCCCCGTGCTTTACAGTCCTCTGTTTTGTGAAAGGCTTAGGATTCTGAACAAGTTTAATTAAAGCCGAGCTTTTGTCGTGCATTAGAAGTTTGGCAAAAGAGAGGCTGTTTCCAATGGCTAAAACACTTAAGAAAAAATAAATGTTCATTAGGCCATGTGCAGTGGTTCACGCCTGTAATCCTACCGCTTTGGGATGTCGAGATGAAAGGTCTAGCCAAGAAGTTCAAGACTAGCCTGGACAACATGATGAGACCCTGTTACTAAAAAAAAAAAAAAAAAAAAAAAAGTTTGATGCCACTAGTAACTGGATAACCACAAAACAGTGAGTGATCACTTGTCATCTGTTGTAGGATTGGTGCAAAAATCATAGATGGGATAATGGCAGGGGCTTGGGGAAATGGATGTATTCTTATAACCACGGCAAGTTAAAGGGTCAGTGAGCGCAATGGTTCTGGATGTCAGACGGGCAAGTCTTAGGACGGCACATACCATTTGGCTCTCCTGTTCGCCCCTGTGGGAGTTTATGACAGAGAAACAATCAGAAATATGGACAAAGATTCTGCTGCCACAGAGCTCATGGCAGAGCTGTTTAAATGAACAACAACAAAAAGACTGGAAACAACTTAAAAATTTGAAAAATCAATGACTAGTTAAACTAACCCACAGTGCAGCCACTTTCAAATATGGCCATCAAAAATGATGTTGACGCCAGGCTTGGTGGCTCAGCCTGTAATCCCAGCACTTTGGGAGGCCAAGGCGAGTGGAGTGCCTGAACCCGCGGGTTCAAGACCAGCCTGGGCAACTTGGTGAGACCTCGTCTCCACAAGAAATCAAAAATTAGCTGGGCATGGTAGCGCATGCCTGTAATTCCAGCTACTCGGAAGGCTGAGGCAGAAGGA